CATGTGGAACTAATTACTGTAGAGGAATTTACACAGCAAGTGAAAGCGAGAGCATGTGCGGTGTGTCACGCAGCTCGTACGAACCGCTGTAGCAGTCATGATGATGTTATGAGAGTCTTCCTGTCTCAGCTTTAACCGATGAAACTCAAGGTTAATGTGGTGCCAGTGAAGCCAACAAGCATGCCCAGACGTATTTATTGATTACTAATGACTTATAACAGAGGTATATACACACAGATTTTACCTAGTTTGTGCGCTGTTAGCGTTTACATTATTATGCTAGCTTTGCCTGCGAGGAGCAAAAGGATCCAGGATCTTTGGGGGGATTTGTGATGCAAATAAGAGAGTCAACGGTTCCACTCTCATGGCTCGACCTGTTGCTGATCTGGCGTTTGCAAAGCCGTTTAATTTTGCTATCTAGCATTTCAAACAAATGTGTCTTGAATAACTGCAAGAGGAGATATTTGTGCCGTGTTTCTGGCGGGCAGCGTGACCTCTAAAACCGAATATAGCTGTCCTGCTCTGCTCTCTTTCCTTCTTTCTAGAACAATATATTTCTTTATCAGTCACTTTTCCCACATTTGTCAGCTAGATCATGTCAGCCTGTGTAAACCCCTGGACGGCCTTGTTAAAATAGCAGCGCATCACGTGTGTGTGTGTGTGTGTGTGTGTTGGCTAGCTGTACCCCGTCAATTGAGTTGTTGTTCATTTGTTGTTTGCTGAGATCATATTCCCCAGGATTGCTTTATGAGGTCAATTTAATGTAGTGACTACAAGTTACAGCCATTTTTATTATCCACGCCTGAAGGGGCACCAAATCTTTACACTTTTTAAAAGGCTTTAGTCTGTTCTGCACATGGCCTGCATCTGGATTCAAAGAAGTGAGTTGGATTTAATATTCAAGACCATCTCTATAGACAGCAACTGTATTAAAATATAATCTTGATTTATTTAAATAAATTAATAATCATAATCATAATAATAAAACTCTTAAATGTTTAAGTAATGTATGTTTTATTAAAATATTTTTAAAGAAATGTTTTATCTATTATATATATATATATATATATATATATATTAAAAAAAATATATATACATATTAAATATA